TGGATTACCTAGTTTATACTGGTATGCAAGTGAGTTATTTTATTCTATTATTGAATGTACAAACTATGTCCTTGATGTTGGATTCTCCAGTAGTCAGAAATATATGAAAGTTCATTGTTTATATTCTATTTGAAATTGTAAGTAGACATTTTATAATTATTTTACTTTCATGTACCCTCTTTCAATAAGAACTTACTGAAGGACTGGAGAGACAGTTTACTCAGTAAACTGTTGTTTGCCTCACAAACATGAGGACCTGACTCTGATCCCCAAGCAAGGTGTGCATTTATATGTAACCTTAGCACTGGAGAGGTAGAGCCAGGATAATACCTGGGCCTCTTCAGCCAGTCAATCTAGCCTAATAAGTGATTTCCGGGATAAGTGACAGACAGTCTCCAAAAGCAAAGTGGGTGGCAAATGAGAAATGATACCTGAGGACCTACAAGCTTGAATACACACATGGATATATACCTGTATATACATACCACTACTACCACCACCACCACCAAATGACAACAACAACAAAATTTACTAAAAAAAATAGATGATTCTAATTTCCTTCATTAACTTGGCCTTAATAGGCAGTAGGTATCTATTTGCAGTCACTTCATATTGAGTATAAAAAGGCAAGAAAAAAAAAAAAAAACCAAGCCAGCAACATTTGCAGTACAAAACACGTCAGAGTAAAATAAAGTGTCCAAAGAAGAAGTTGTAAAGTAGACAAAGTTTGACCATTGGAGAAACTTATTCTGTAAATAATAAGAACTACTAAAGAAATTTAAGCATGGGGGAAAATATGCTTCCCAAAGACAGGTAAATTGTGAAGTCTGCAAAAGGAATGATAAAACATACCTAACTTGCTCAGAGAGGAAAATAAATTGTTGTAATACTTATGAAGACAACTGCACAATCTAATAAAGCTAGAGACATATGCATTCCACAATCTAGCATTTACTTGTTATTTTTTTAAACTCCATTATGCACGCAAGAAAAGATAAGAACAAGGATGTTTACTACAAGATGTTTTACAGATTTGAAAAACTGGAAACAGTACACATTATCAACAGGAATAAATAAGTACATAATGTCACAGTAATACACTGTACTATCATTCAAGTGCAATAATAAATCTGCATGTCTCATGGATAAATCTTGAAAACAGAACTTATCAAAGCAGGCAAGTTACTGTGGATCCCAATGGGAGACCACTTTCATATGAAGTTAATCACATTGTATTTTGTATACAAATACACAGAAAAGTGAACAAAGGATAGACTCACAGATGACAATAACACAAAATTTATGACAGTTGTTACTTTTGAGAAAATGTGATAAAAAATAACAATGGAAATAACAGGGTCGTCAATGTTTAATTTAAAATATGTACCTATTTTATTTATTTGCTGAGAAAACAAAGCATTAAGACTTGACCAAGATGGATAATAGGCATGGAGAAGCTGACTACATTTTCTCTCATTTTCCATGAAGATTACATATAGTAGTAGTGTAGATAATGTAGCATATTGAGGAAAAAAACAGAAACAAGGGTGCAATTAAAATCCTTTTAAGATCAGTGAGAAGCAATGACTGCAGACAAAAGGAAAGAGGCAGGAGAAAAGGGTGGATAACAGATACATAGAAAATAAAACCAGCAAAATCAGGAGGCAGAACAGATACAAGAACTACAATGGAAACAAACAGTCTGGGCCCAGTGTTATTCTTCCTGAATATTAGAAAGCAAAAGAGGCTTTTACAGTAGAGGTCCTGTATGGAAGAACCTGGTTAATGTCCCAATGAACAGGCTCACTATAGGCTAGGCAAAGTCGATGGCAGCACAGACTATAGGCTAGGCAAAGTCGATGGCAGCACAGGCATGGGATAAGGCATCCAATCAAACACAGATGCAAAACACAGAAACACATTTATTCAAACATTCAAAGCCTCCGTTTTTTTGTTTATAAAATGAAAACTGCTAACAAAGGAACTATTTCTATACTAGTTATATGAGAATTAATTAGATAATCCTTGTCAGGCTCTGAACAAAGAATCTAAGGGAGGCTAACTGATCAATAATGACCAGCTTGATTTACAGCTTCTTTTTCACTCACATGACATGGTTCTTTTTTGGTTCATTTGTTTTGTATTGTTTTTTTTTGAGACAGGGTTTCTCTGTGTAACCTCCCTGGCTGTCCTGGAACTTGCTCTGTGGACCAGGCTGGCCTCAAACTCACAGAGATCCTCCTGCCTCTCTGCCTCCTGGGTGCTGGGATTAAAAGCATGTGCCTCCACCTCCTGGAACAGCACATAGTTCTAACACATGTATCATTTATAACTCTTTGGTGAATCCACCTTGGTATCTACACTATTTATTCTCAAAAACATTTTGGAAAACTGTCAAGCTCCAGACTGGAGAAATTGCTCAGTAGTTAAGACGGCGATATATGACATCTGATGTGATAAGTGGAACTTTTTAAAAACAAGGCACTATCTATCCATCCACTTTTCTGAGACAGAGTGGGGGAACCTGGAGCTGCCTGCCCATTTTGACCTGAATGGTCAGCAAGCTCCCAAGAACTACCTGTCTCTGTCTTAGAAGCTTACTACATTATTAGGGTTACAGGCTTATGTGGCCCTACTCAGCTCTTACAGAGGTGATGGGGATCAAAAATCAGGTCATTATGCTTGCTCATCAAGCATGTCTACCAGCTCTGTTCTGAATATTTCTGATCTACGATTGGTTGGATTCAGCTGCAAAAGGCAGGAAAATCGAGGACTGGTCACATATAGTACTTAGGAAATGTCATAAGCTCTGTTGCATTAGCAACACTGGTCTTTAGAGTGACAGTGCAAACAATTCTGAAAAGAACAAGCCGTAAACTGAGAACTCCACCCAGACCCATCAGCAGACAAGCCAGACACACTTCAATGAGGGAAGGTCTGCTTCACTTTGGCAGTAGTCAAGAGGAACTTAATGGTTTGAGTCGTCTCTCTAAGGCTTCCACATGAAACCTTGATTGACAGCTGATAGCCTTTTGAGAGATATTGGATCATACAGGCTTCTAACTTTACAATGGATTAATAAATTATTAATTCATAGCTGAATACACTATTAGAAGTTAAGGTCTGGTTGGAAGAGTAGGTTTGGAAGTGGGGATTCTCTGAAAGGGACAGCTTGTGCTGGACTTTACCTAAAATGAGTAGCTCTACTGGGCCCCCTTGTTGCCAATGTTCCTCACCACAGACCCAAAAAAGTGGCTCAGTGTGAACAAACTGAAACCTCTGCACCTACAAGCCCAAATATTCTTGAAGTTGTTTTTCTCAGAAACTGACTAAATACTCTGATAAACAGATTAAAGTGAAGGCACCAAAAATAATAAATGAAAAGAAGCAGTGCTTCCTTTTACCAGTCTGATGGTATGTCAATATTTTCCTAATACGCAAACAAAATTAATCTTTCACTCACTTTTTTCATGAGGACTTTACATTAAAAGCTTATGTATACGTGTGTATGCATACACATATATACATATATGTGTAAGTTTTATATTTCAAACACAAACTTTAAAGAAAGCCCAAATCTCACCTTTCTAAAACTATTAGTCTCTTTTACATTTTTTCGCAAGCACTTTAAAGAGAATAACCAGAAAGTTTTCCCTCTCCACACTATATGTGTCTGACAGGATTTAAACCAAATAAACCTGATAGCAGTAATGTTTTATTAGTATCGACTGTTCCAAAACCAAAAGTAAATTTCTTTGGAGACATTACATGAGACAATTACCAAAATCTGCTTTACATTTGATCTTCAAGGAATACACCTAGACCTGAGATGGAATGTCCTGCATATATTTTATCTTAGTGACTACCTTAAACAGTTACTTTTTTTAAAAATGTCATTTGACAGTAGCTAAATTCCAATAAAATTTCTAAATGTAAATAAAATGCCATATACATTCAAGCAAGAAAACATCAAATTGCATCCTTCCTTAAAAGGTAAAGAAAATTTACCTGAAATGTTATCATAATTTGTCTGTCTGTCTTTCTCTGTCTCCTCCCCTCCCTTTCTCTCCCACGCCCAGTTCAGCAGGTTGAACCACGGTTTTATGTGTGCTAAGCAAGTGCTTTACCTCGTACTATGTTCCTAACTCCATGAAATAATCTTAGAGTCACATAATGTTTTACAACTACTAGATAATATTTTGTAGTATTTGCATATAACCTACACAGATCTTCCCTGATATTTTAAATATTCTCTAGATTATATGCAATATATACAAGTGTTACAGTAATTTCAACATGTTTTTAGGAAAGATTGACAAGGAAAACAGTCAAAACATGTTTAACACAAATGCAATGTTGTTTTCAGTGTACTTGGTTGAACCCGTGGATATAGAATTCACAAATATATAAGGACATGTATACTCCTCAGTATTCCCTTAGGACTCACACAAACACCCTCAATAATCTTTTATTATGTTTCTAAATCAATTTATTTAAAACTTGCTGATGCTGCCCTTTCAATTTTCACATTATAAGTCTCCCAACATTATGGGGATTTAGCTGCTGTCTGTTTAGTATATATCTAAATTCCCCTAGTCCACAAGATTTAGCATGTAAAACTGTCAAGGAATGACTGGAATATATAGGAAATGACTTAAATGTCAGACCCCCACTCACAAACCTCAGAACTATTAAAACAGCAAATCTTGTTTCTAACCTTGAAATATAAAAGATATTATCTATTAAAGTATTTTTTAATCCAAAGTATTTAATGACTGTCCACATAAAATACTCATTTAGGAAAAATATATGTGTAAAACAAATAAACTAATTTTGCATTGTGCTTTAATACCAATTCAACAGATGAGTTCAGCTATCAATTACATGTCTGAGGTAGGGAGTCACAAGATGTATCTTCTTCTCAACTCCTACCTGTTATGTGTATAGACCCATCTTCATCCCCAATAACACAATAAAGTTTTTTGATAGTAAAAACCTACCTTTGATGTTCTTTGAAGCTGATCACCAACATATGTTTTACGAAACTGATCCAAAAACCAGAGAATTGCAAGCTCTATTTTTTCATTGGTGCAGCGAGGCAATCTGGCATCCATTAAAGATATAAGCTGAAAAACGCTTTCCATGAAGAAGAAAAAAAAAAAAAAGCTTTAATACAAATTCTCAAAGAAACAATATTGAGGTATTTACTACAAACGTATAGTCACTCTAAAAAGTGAAAAAATACAAAAGCATGTCCAAAAAATGCTATTTAAATCATCTGAAATCCTACCTCTGTAAGAAACAACTGGTCTAGATCCTCCTAGTGTTTAGCTATTAATATAAACTTCCTACAGGTGAGCATATCCACTAAAGGTTATATACAGATATATGACATATGAATATATATACAGACATAAAAATAAATATTCTTGTACTTTTAGTAAAAGGATATAAAATGTATAGTTATGTTCTTTACTTTGTATTTCTAAATAATTCAAAATCATGACTCAATTCTTTAAAATTAAGAATCAGGTCTGTGAAGTTACATTCAGTAACTATTACTGAATCATTAAAATTTTACCTAGAACATATGAAAATATTGACAAATTTTTTTTAAGAAAATCAAGCTGTGGGACTGGAGAGATGGCTCAGAGGTTAAGAGCACTGACTGCTCTTCCAGAGGACCTGAGTTCAATTCCCAGCAACCATCTGTAATGAGATCTGGTGCCCTCTTCTGGTGTGCAGGTGTACATGCAAGCAGAAGATTGTACACATAATGAATAAACAAATAAATATTTTTAAAAGAAGAAAAAGAAAATCAAGCTTTGTGTGCATAAGATGTGGTAATGGAGATTGAACCTAGGTCCTTGTACATACCAGACAAGCATTCCACAATTTATACCCTCTTTATTTGCTTCTCATTTTGAAACACAGTCATTAAGTTGCACAAACTGGTCTGAATTCAATCTGTAGGCTAAGTAGGCCTCCTTTTTGAGTAGCTGGGACTATAGAATTGCACTATCAGGCTCATTTCAACCATTTTCAATACCAAACTATTATTAACTATTATTAGTTGTCACAAAAATGATAAATTTTCAACTGATTATTATTTAAAAATATTATCAGTAAATTATAAGTGAATGGAAGATTAGGGCAAATTTCTTAACTCTTATTTCTATATAGTATATAATTCTCAGCCTTGCATTTTCAATGAAGACATCCTTGAACATTACATATTTTTATGAAAATTTCCTAGTGGAAGATAGTTAAGTAGCTTGCAGTAACACATTCAATACATCTTGTCAGTGGAGGAGGGAGTAATACTTGGTTTGGTGTGGTTGAAGCAGGGTTCCCCTGTATAGCCTAAGCTGTACTCATAGCAATCTTACTTCAGCCTCACAAGTGTAAGGACTATAAATGATTACCACCAAGCCCAGACTAGTAAACTATGATTTTTTTTTAATGAGATGAAATGATTGAGGCCTTGCCTAGCCCTGATCCATCTTGTTCATTTTATGTATGCAACATAATTGGTTATGTAAAAACACATTACATATGTGTGTATATATATGTAGATATATACATATATATCTACACAAAGATACATGTAATATTCATCCCCATATTCAACTTACAGTCCTACATTTTAAATTAATTTTAATAAAATGTATGGAAGAATTCAAGTTCAAATAACTTCATTAAGTAACTTATTTCATTAAATAAATTTTTGGTTGTTTGCTTTATTGAGATAGGGTCTTACTCTGTAGCCCTGGCTGGCCTGGAACTCATTATATAGAATGGTCTGGAACTCACAGAGATTCACCTGTCTCTGCCTTAAGTGCTGGGATTAAAGGTATACACCATCACACCAGGCCTTCATTAAAAATTTACATCCAGGTTATAAACACATAGTTCCAAATACAAAGAAATGGATTTTGGATTCCTTGGAAACCTAATTTAATGAGTATTTATTAAAACAACAAAAACTATGTCAAATATGTATTAGGTATTTAGAATACAAAAATAAGAAAGATATAACCCCATTCTACAGAAATTCACAAATAATACAATTAACACATAGAATAATGAATGCCAAGTTGTATAAGAAATTAACAAGGATTCCTAGTATCCTGGAATATAATAGTGTAAGGAGAAAATATAAAAAGGGGACATAGACATTTAGAAAGAAAACAAAAAAATTTGCCAGTTTCAATGAAATCTTGAAATTCGAAGGCAAATGGATGGAACTGTAAGAAACCATCCTGAGTGAGGTAACCTAGTCACAGAAAGACAAGCATGGTATGTACTCACTCACATATGGATATTAGACATAGAGCAAAGGATTACCAGCCTACAAGCCACACCTCCAGAGAAACTAGGAAACAAGGAGGACCCTAAAAGAAAAATACATGGTCACCTGAAGAAGGGGAAAGGGACAAGAACTCCTGAGCAAACTGGGAGCACTGGGGGGGCGATAGGTAGGAAAAAGAGAAGGGGAGAAGAGGAGGGGGGAGGAGAACAAGAGGGATCAGGAAGACTGAGACAGGGGAAGAATAGAGGAGAGCAAGAAAAGAGATACCCTAATAGAGGAAATCAGTATAGGTTTAAATCTGGCACTAGGGAAATGTTCAGAGATCCACAAACATGACCCCAACTAAGAATCTAGGCAGTAGTGGCTGCCTTTGATGCCCTTCCCCTATAATGAGATTGATAACTACCTTAATTGCCATACTAGAGCCTTCATCTCGTAGCTGATGGAAGCAGAAGCAGACACCCACAGCAAAGCACTGAGCAATACTCATGGAATCCAGTTGTAGAGAGGGAGGAGGGATGGTCAAAGCAGTCAAGACGGTGCTGGAGAAACCTATAGAACCAGCTGACCTGACCTAGTGAGAGCATACAGATCCCAGTAGTAAAGCTGGAGAACCAGCATTGGACTGAACCTAGCCCTCTGAATGTGGGTGCCAGTTAGGAGGCCTGGGCAGTCTCTGGGACCTCTAACAGTGGAAGCAGTATTTATCCCTAGTACACAAATGGACTTTGGGAGCCCATTCCCTAT